CCTCTCCCTCTCCCTCTCCCTCCCCTTCTCCCCATCCCTCTCCCTCCCTCTCCCCCTCCTCTGACGTACCCTGTGCCTCGAGCGAGTGCTCCTCGCTGCGGCCGACCAGCGAGTACTGGTTGTTCTTGTTGAGGTCTGGCTCGAGGAAGGCGACAGGGAACGTGCTCGCGAACGCGCCGAGGCACTGTCCAAGCGCGCTGCGGTGCTTGTCCAGCTCTGCGATGATCGTGCGACGCTCACGGAACTGCGCCGCGCTCACGCCGAGCGTGTACAGGCTGTTCAGGATCTTGTAGCAGGCAAGCTGGATTTCTTCGACTGCAAAACGACGAGTCGCATGTGACGATCGAAAATGACGGCGCGATCGTCGTCGTTATCGACGTCTACGTGATTTTTTCGGTGTTGCTATTATTATTTGATTAGTATTTATTAATTGATTGTTAATTATTATTAATGCTGTTGTTATTTCTTCAATTGCCTACGCACACCACAGTTATTATTATTATTATTTAATTATTATTTATTAATTAATTATTAATTATTATTCATAATCATTATTTATTATTTCCTCCTCTGCCTACGCACACCACACTGTTATTATTATTATTGTATAATCATTATTTATTATTTAATTAGTATTTAATAATTAATTATTACTATTAATTAATGCTGTTATTATTTCTTCCATTGCCTACTCACACCACACCCAGCAGATTGGATGTGTGGTGCGGAGTCCCCCCCTCCCACATAGACTTGGGTACTGCTCAAAGAAGAAGCATTATTATCATTATATTTCTTATTTATGCATATAAAATTATAATTATATTATTGTTGTTCAATATACTCACCGAGAAGATCCTTGCCAAAGTTGTTGACACCAAGATGGTTGAACAGCGCAGTGAGCACGGGGAGCAGCACCATGTGTGCATAGTTCAGCGTGCAGTAACTCTTTCTCGCAGTTTCCTGGAGTTATACAAGTAAATGTCTATACATCCTCGCCCTTTACAGGTGATTATTTGCAGATATTTGCGCATTAGGAATTAAATGCAAAGTGTGTCAGTTACTCAGTCACAAATGATTCTTGTAGCAAAAATTCACCCTACAGACCTAAATGCATTTATGTCTAGATTTACATCGGTACTCATCGTAGACATGGTATTCATTGTTATTAAATTTAAATCATGATTGGCCTCCACTAGGGTTGTAGCCAGGACAATTTTATTGCTGGCTAATATCAGTGATTGCGAGCGTAGTGAGCGGAGTGAACGGAGCGCAGCGGTTCACGACCGGGGGTCCAGGAGCCCTGTACGATGTATGATGTGATCAGATGATGATTTTACGCGTAATTATTGTTGAGATTAAACTCAGAGTTGTTTTTAAATTAATTCTAAGTGTATCAGTTGTAATTATTTGTAGATTACTCATTATTTTAAAGATAATTTTGCACAAACTCAATCATTTTTGTGCCGGTCGGCGAAAGGATGTTATTTAAAGCTGCGTGCCGGTCGGCCAACACCAGAGCCGGCTATTACCGACCGGCGTAGCTACAACGGTGGCCTCCATGTATTCTAAGAAGCTGCTGCAGACACATTAGTTAAGCCAGGGTCTCTCTCGCTTCTCACCTTGATGTTGAGGAAGGTTCCATCAAGCATGTTGTCCATGACAGCCGTTAGGTCGTCTGCGGCATTGTTAAAGAACGGTTGCATGAGCGCGCGCACGAAGTCTGGACGACTTTTCACCACAGACCTGAAATACAGAGTAAGAATTACTGATTGAGCCATCCCAGGAACAAGAATAGGAGAGAAGGTCAGTACCGAGAGAAAAACGAACAACGAGAATAAAAATAAAAATTATAATGTCAAGAGAGTAGTGTAACAACAATAGCTCACAGGTTTCTAAAGTTTAAATCGTAAAATATATTATCTACAATATCTATATGAAAAATATTTCATCATGATATTTTCTCCTCGTCAAATCATTTATCGTTATCACGTTACGTCATATCATGCAGTGCTACACTCACCCGGCATCAATGGCTTGCACTAGCACCTCCAAGCTCTTGACTGTCACCTGAGCTAAACTTCCAAACGCAGTGAATTTGGAACGGAGAAGGGATGCCAGCTTACAGAACAAACTGAAATGAAGCATGCCTTTTATTATATTTTCTGAGATGATAGGTTTTGTCTGATGGCGTGCATAACACATCCGTGTTGCTACTTCCTGGTGATGTTGAAGTGTTCAGCAAACCACACTCAAGGAATGTTTCTCTGGTATGGAAATATTTTACATATGTGGTTATGGATGCATTATTGCAAGAAGTTCGTTTAGTTCGTAAAGTAAGATAACTAATAGACTTGCGGTGTTCGCTGCATTGTGTTTCATACCTTCCCACTAGTTCTTTCTCCTGTATTGATGCGTGGCTCATTGAAGCTGCACCGCCACTAGCCAGGAAATAAACTCTGTGCGCGACAAAGTAGCGTTCCACCAATGGCAGCGCCACCTGTATGCAAATATGTAAACATCACAACCATACCTCGCAGTGGGGAGACTTATGTTTGCTATTACTGATGCCAAACATTTTTTATTATGACTTACTTAGCGATTTCTGCAGAGTGAACATGTGTGCTACAACATGGTTTACATAAACAAGTGTATAAGCTACCACTCTGATTAGTTTGAGAATACATGTGATTTTAACGGGAATGCATAACGTCATAAAAATGTGCTCACATCTCGCAGAAAACGACTATCACCTACACCAAACCTTTTCCCATACACACTTGTGACTTTGTTCGCTCCCGAGTGAGTGCGTGCGTGCGCGATAATGGTGCAAACCTCACATGTGTGCGCATGTGCGTCTGTGCACGCACGTGCGTACACGGGCATGCGTGGTGTGACTGTATGTGCATGCCTGCATGTAAGCATGCACACGCGTGTGCGGGGTTGCGCATGCCTGCGTGTGCGTGTGGCGCATGCATGCGTGCATGTGCACGCTCGCTTGCCTGCGTGTGTGTGCACGTGCGTGCACATGCATGCGTGCATGTGCGCGCTCGCGTGCCTGCGTGTGTGCACGTGTGAATGCATGTACGCGTGCGTGTGCGCACGCGTGCATGCGTGCGTGTGTGCACGTGTGCGTGCGCATGCATGCCTGAGTGTGCGTGAGTGCGCGTGCGTGTGCGCACGCGTGCATGTACATGCCTACGTGTGCGTGCATGCACCCCCGCTCGTGCGCGTGCCACCAGCCATCGCGCGTCGCCAGCCCAGCCCCCACGCACCTTGCCGAAGAACTTCACGTCCTCTGTGGCCGTCACGTAGCTGTTCCTGCGACTGTACAGCCGGCTCGTGTACAGCTTGTTGAGGTTGTTGCCGGCGCGGTCGAGGTAGCCGAGCAGCTTCGTGAGCAGGCTGTGTGCGAAGCGACTCTCAATGCCCGACTCGTCGGTCGCGTCTACAGTCTGCTGCGTGCGCAGCCGCGCGTCCATGGCCCTGTAACAATGTTTACATGTGTTACTGGGATGGATGCGATCCGTGTATGTGCGCGAATGTTACTGGTCATTATACGGGTCGTTATGTGTTGTTATTGGGCGGTGGCGTTATGCAGTGGTGCCATACGTGCGTTACAGCAGTGTGTGGCTTAAATAATTAGTAGTTTTCAGTGTACCTTTCAGTATGTTTCAGGGTTTTTTATTGTTTAAGTTTACAACAAAGCGGCACGCGGTCGTTACGCGTCAGTGGCATTACGTGGTGGTGTCGTTCTTAGTATGAGATATGCCTATGTTACAGTAGTGTGCAGCTTAAATATTTACTTGTTTTTACATCAGCGTACCTTTAAAATTAGCTATGTTTCGATTTTTTTTTTCATTGGTTAAGTCCGAAATGTATAACTGATGTGATAATGACATGATATCTTGTGACAATACAGAGATACACAAGCACATGTGCATTCAGATGCACACAATGTAACACTCACACTCACACATGTATGTGCGCATGCACACACGCACACACGCACACACACGCACGCACGCACGCACGCACGCACGCACGCACGCACGCACCGCCACGCCCACACACACACACACACGCCCCCCCCCCTACAACACACCACGCGCGCGCGCGCACACACACACACACACACACACACACACACACACGCCCCCCTACCACACCACACACATACGTACTGCCGACAATTTGTATCCCTGCAGCTGCAGGAACTTGACCATGTCGAGCGAGCGCAGCCGCTCCTTGCGCTTCTCGCGGTCCGTCATCATGTCGTAGGGGATGAGGTTCGGGTGGCTGCCGCCGCCCTTACTGCGCAGGTCGTCGATCGTCTTCCGCGCCCAGATGTCGTGCGCGTTCTCCGCGAGCCTCTCCGCGAGCGCCTGCATCTCCTTCGTCAGACTCAGGTTGGTCATGTCGACCGGCTTCGGGCTGTACCCGTGCACCGCGTCGAATCCCATCGACTTCGCAGCCTGCATGCTGCTACGGCGGCGCCCCGTGGCGGCCGCCGCCGTGCCCGCCGCTCCAGCCTCCCGTGCCGCCGCCCCGCCGCCGCTCGCGATCGACCATCCATTCGCGAGCATCGCGCGCAGCGACGCCTCGATCGGCTCGCGGTACATGCGGCGGTCGTAGTCGGTGAGCAGGTCGAACGGCTTGAGGCGCGGGTGCAGCCGCTTCTCCGGCACGTAGCTGTCGGCGTGCGTCCAGCCGCGCTCGAGCTTGCGCGACGCCCACGCGTCGTGGTACTGCTCGGCGAAGCGGTTCACGAAGTCGCTGATCGCCGGCGGCAGCTGCACGCGGCTCGTGTCGACGGGAGTCGGCGTGTAGGTGTACATCGACGCGAGGTGCTGCTTCGTGAACCACTCGTCGTCGACGCTCGTCGTCAGCGTGTAGTCAGGCGACAGCGCGCAGCCGATCGCAGACAGGCATGGCAGCGCCTTCGCGAACAGGTTCGGGTCGTAGGCCTGCGGGGCGGAGAGAATGCGGCATTAGGCGGCCCGTGTTGGCCGACGAATCTCACAGGCAAATTTGTTTGTGGAGGGCAGGCATTTCATGCACACACACTGTAATCGAACATCTGCACGAATCTCACATCTATCACTACAAACTAGGTAGAAAAACGATTAAAATTGTTGAATTAAAATAACTAAATTATAATTAATTCTGCACGAATCTCACATCTATCACTACAAACTAGGTAGAAAAACGATTAAAATTGTTGAATTAAAATAACTAAATTATAACTAATTCTGCACGAATCTCACATCTATCACTACAAACTAGGTAGAAAAACGATTAAAATTGTTGAATTAAAATAACTAAATTATTTAATAATTGAAGCCGTCAGCCGACGCGACTGCGATGGCACAACCCCGCGTCTCCTCGCGACGTCGCTATACGCACCCTGTTCGCGAGCGAGTCGAATATGCATGAGAAGAGCATCATCGTGAGCCGCTTCTCGTCCTCGCTCGCCGTGCCGTAGCCGCTAGCTGAGCCGTAGTACTGGCCGCAGCGTTCGTAGTGCAGGTTGAGGATGTTGAGCGACACGTGCGTGTACTCGTTCAGTGATGGCACGTCGTGGATCAGCTTGCGCAGCAGCGGCAGCATCTGCACCGGACGCAGCTCCCTGTAAGACGCGAGAGCGCGTGAGAGAGAGCGCGTGAGAGGCAAAGTCGAGTAGGGCAGTGTAGGGGTCGATTTCATCGATCGATCGATGAATAGAAGAATTCTTTTATTTATTTGTTCATCGATCATAATATGATTGGTCAGTTGGTTGGTTGGCTGGTTGGTTGGCTGGTTGATGTATTGATTGATCAAACCTAGCACCCATCACACACCAATAACCAAATACTCATTACATACTGATAACCCAAGTCAGTTGTTAATTACTGGTAATTACAGATGACAGTGGGAACCACTGACCCTGCCTAACACACGTGACATGCCGATTACATTATTATTATTATTATTATTATCATCAATCTTAATCTATAAATATTTATATCTCTAATCGTTATTGCATGTAATTCAAATACACATAGATGTACTGAAGACGCGAGCTAGCGCGAACACAACCTTCGCACCGCCGCGCGCGGTAACCTACCTCGTGAAGGCGACGAGGAAGTCGGACAGCACCTCGCGCTGCACCTTAGTGAGCGTCGCGCACTTAGAGATGCGGTAGGACGTCTGCAGCGTGGCGTCCAGCAGCTCCGTGTAGTGCTCAGAGTCGTGGAAGTAGTGCGCATAGTTGGTGAGCAGCGGCAGCACGCTCTGACACAGGTAGCGGTTGAGAGCCAGCGCCAGGTCACTGTCGTTCGCTTCCGGCTGCGCGCCGCCGCCGGGAAGGAAAAACACACGATTATTCGTTCATCGTTCACGTTACTGTTCGTATTTTTTTTTAGTATTCATATTATTTATTCACGCTTTTTTTTGCTGTTTTTTTAGAATTTATATTATTTATTTACACTACGCATTTTGTAACCATCAACATTATTTCAAAAATTCAAAAATTTCATAAATTCTGAAGATGGCTGTCAGAACGACAGCTGAAACTGTCAAGGTAAACAATTTAAGGATTTAACCATGAACAATGATGTTATTAATCAACATTATTTGTTTAGTATTTGTATTATTTATTCATGCTATGTATTTTTAAATGTTATATTGTATTTATATATTTTTAAATGTATATTTCATTTAATGTGCTACTATATCTTCCCTGCATATTCACGTGTCTGCATTAGCAATGTTAGTTTTCAAATGTATATGCTGGAGAATTCGCTTGCCGGGGCACATAGGGATAATTCCTACCGTGTCCAGGAGGACAGCTGTGCGAAGGTCGGGAAGGAGTCCATCCTCCAGCAACCGGAAGAATGTTTCCTGGTCAGGGATTCCGTATACACGTTCCATAAACAAGAGAACTGCCTGCCTGTGGCAGGGCAAGAGTCCTGGGGGCAGACCTGTAGACACCTTGGCATCTGTGAAAATGTCACGCACATTATTATGTGCTACTAATCCATGCTGTACAGAATTCTGAACAGATCCCATTACATTAATTACATGTATTCCGTGAGAATATACATAACGATAATATTATGTTTATAAAATATCTGCTACAAATGTCGTGGATTATCTATAGTAAGAAAAATGACATCCTTACATTTACTATGCGCCATACATTTATAAAAATGTATATAGTATTAATACAATAACATGCATCAGTACAATATTCACTCACTTATAAACTTTTCATTAAATCATAGTAATTTATATGCAACATTTTCAAATATGTATCCAGTATGAGATACATGCCAGTCTGTAGAGTTGGAAATACCGATATACTGACCATCTGCCTTGTCAGGCTGGATAACGTTGGGCAGCATGAAATGAAGACTCAAGCAGCCTTCTAGATCTTCCATTGACACAAGACTGCGCAAGATGGCGCGCGCACGAATTGAGTCACTCTTCGCCTGGTGTATGGTGGCGGCATCTGGTGCACAGCGGCCGAGCAGGTCAACTAGAGCGGCGTAGAAGGTCAAGATGGCGCCACCCATGTCGATGTAGTCCTCATCGTCTTCTGGGGCCGTCGCACTGAAGTAGTAGTTAGGTTCGTGTTTACTGCGAAGGTTTTACTTCCAATTAGAAACTAATGCTTTTCTTTCAATGGGAAACTAAAATGTAACATTTTCCATGAGAGACTGATGGATGTTCATTTCCATTTGATTTTCCATGATGTCACTTCTAAGATTTCACTTTCGATGGGAAACTAAGGTTTCAATTTCAATAGAAAATTAAAATTAAATTTTCTACGAAAGACCGAGATCTCACTTCCACGGGTTAACTTTTGATAGGAAACATGAGGAAGGTTTCATTTTCATGGGCAACTAAGGTTTCAATATCAATGGTAAACTATTGATTTTCCTAGCCCCCATTACACGACTACTGAGATCACTATACAGATCACTCCACCTTGACGCTTACTGTACAATCGCCGTTTTTCTCAAGTCACTTCTGAGCACACTTCGCTCCGATGCGTACTTGCTAGATAAAAGTACCAGTGTGTTCCATAATACTAAAGATTCCCCATCCGGAGTTTCGAACAATCGACGGTACCTTTGTGCGTTGTCTACGGCTATCTCCTGTGATATGCGTATGCCGTCCTTCATGGCCTTTAGCAGGCCACCACCCTCTCCTCTCAGCGCAGGCCCCAGGCACTCCGGTCGTCTGATGAGCAGACGAATCACCAGGTTCGCATTCTCCTCAACGCACTCACCTAACGACAGCGATTAACTCATTAATCGCTGATTAATTATGTTAATATTCTTGTTGACTGACATTATTTACAAGTTTGAACAACAAGTTTTATCTAGCTTTTCACACAAGCATGCTTCATGGAGGGCAACACTAAAAATTATTAAAAGGCAGGTGATAATATCTCTAATGAACTTGAACTTTTGATATTATCTTAAATTCACCAAACATTTCATTAATCCAGGGATTAATCAATGGAAATATGAAACCATTTTCATTCTCGTGAACACAGTCTAGTAACATATGTGGCAAGGCTGATCAGATTGAAACGTAGAATTAGTAAAGCTATTCCGTACTTACCTCCTGAATTAATTTATGACGAGATTTTCTTACTGTTACAGTTTGGAGATAAACATTGGGCCCCTATATCTACTATCCAACAGAAATTATTGAAAAATCAACATCACCATAATTAACATCATTAGCTGAGATCGTACCATTAACCCAGACGCAGAAGCGCATGAAGTCTAGATAACGCTCGCCCTCCACGGGGTCCCATCCGATGTCAGGATAGCCCTTATCCAGCAGCTCAGCGTTGCTTTGCAGTCCACAGCGGGAAAGATATACTGCCACCTATAGCCAGTAAATGATGAAATAATACTGTGGTACTTTGCAGTTCACAGCGAGAAAGATATACTGCCACCTATAGCATTAATTGATGAAAGAATAGTGCGTTACTTTGCAGTCCACAGCGGGAAAGATCTACTGCCACCAATAGCCATTAAATGATAATACAATACTGAGGCATGACATGCAAAGTACTATACAAGAATTAGTTTTTGACTAGTTACATGATACAGCTAGTGTGTACCTAAATCTCTCGTGGTTCTCTCTTGTTGACATGATGGCAGTACACTACATTTAGTTCCTGCTAGAGAGAACCATAAGATCTATTGCTTTACGAAAAAAAAGCTGCAAATCCCAACTTAAGATACTAGATAATTAGGGCAAGATACTGTATAAAAGTTCTAACTAAACATCTGCTCTCACTGACCTTCTCTAGATGGGTCTCTCTCAGTGCAAGAGCGAGTTCATTGTTGTCCATCAGTGAAGAGTAGGCTACATCCAGTGGTGCTGACCCTCTCAATGATGGTCTTGCTGTAATGCAACAACATTAGAAGACAGGTGAATAGCAAGTAGATTGAGGTTGGGCCACGAATAAATGTTTTGTGACTTAGTAATAAACATAGTAACTCTACCCAACATATGCTGGGAAACTAAGCAAACTATTTTGTCATTTCCTGTAGCCATAGGCACGCGAACATGTAATAATTACACTTTACTGGGTACTCAATAGTAACTACTTTTAAAACGAGAAAAGATGAAGATGACAATGAAGATGTGACATTATACGATTAGATATTGATGGCCACTATGAATAATATATCTTAACAGCACCTTACCAAATTTACATGTTATATTATTATTCATACATGATTATGATTAGTTAGGTGGCAACAGCTAGTGCAGTGCATCGTAGCGATACGATGTAGTGAACCATGACTCATCTCATCAAGCCTGCTTAGCCTCAGTGGTTAGCACTGGTTTTGGTAAACCAGGGGTGCATTGGTTCAATCCTCATAGGAGGCTGACATGAGTCTATTTTGTTACTTGCTAAGAGCCTCTGTCTTGAGCTCTCTACATAGATACGAATTGAGGTCCCTACGTAGGGTGCAGCACTAGAGATTCTGGTCTCTACACAGAGGGCTGCACTAGACCTTTAGGTCTCTATGTAGATGGCTGCACTAGACCTTTAGGTCTCTATGTAGATGGCTGCACTAGACCTTTAGGTCTCTATGTAGATGGCTGCACTAGACTTTTAGGTCTCTATATAAAGAAACTAATATTTGAGATTCAGGTCTCCACATAGAAGGCAGCACTCAGGACTCTACGTAAAGAGCAAGACTAGAGTTATTATATAATGCAATAATAATGCAGTGTTTACACTGGCCAAAAATGTCTGTGAGGTGGTAATTTTTTTGGGGTGTTTGTGCGTTTCGAAAATTTGTGAAAAAATGAGTACAATTTGTCTCGTGCATGTTTAAGCTATTTGGAACAATTGTATTGAGTTCTTGATTCTCTTGTTTTCAAGTTGTCAAAGCTTTCATCAGCAAGGCCGCTGTTCTGGACAAATTATCTGTGTGGCCGGCCTGCAGAATTTTTGAGCAAGGCGCCGCCTCATGTCAATGCTGGGGAAACACTGATAATGGAATGAAAATAAAATTCCAATCTGGAATTGGCAAAAACTACTGTTGCTGACCGTGATAACAATGTAGTTTTACACAGTTATTGCTGGTCATGCATCATATTGGATTATTATTTTATTTATAGTGTAGTTACACCTCATGGCATTATTCACGCATGATTATGCGTTTCTCAGGAGGCAACAGCTGGTGCAGCACAATGCAGCGATATGACGCAGCCAACCACGACTTATCTCATCAAGCCTCCTTAGCTCAGTGGTTAGAGCACTGTCTTGATAACCAGGGGGGGCGTCATGAGTTCAATCCTCATTAGGAGGCTGGACGTGAGTCATGATTTTGTTCCTTCTCTACTGCTTCAGAAACCAAATAATAAGGGGTTCTCTAGCACGGTATCCTCTATTACGCTAACCTGTTTATTGACAGTCTAGGTGTTGCCCGAGCTTCTCGCGCGTTTTGACTTGTTCGACAAGTTTATTATCATTACTTCGAATGGATGTTACTTGTCACTGGCCTCTAGATGGTGTCCACAGAAGATTCAAACTCTCGACATGAGAACTAACACTTGTAGTCTCTATGTTGGGAGCAGCATTTCAGAACTTGCCAGACCTCCATTACAGAGGGCCAGCCACTAGCGGATTCCATAGATCTCTACATAGAGGGAGCACTCGGGATTCAGGTCTATCATAGANTACGTCTAGGTGTTCCGAGCTCTCTGCGCGTTTTGATTGTTCGACAAGTTTATATATTATTTAGAATGGATGTTACATTGTCACTGGCTTAGATGGTTGCACAGAAGATACAAATCTCGACATAAGAACTAACACTTGTAGTCTCAATGTTGGGAGTAGCATTTCAGATGCAGGCCTCCATACAGAGGGCAGCACTAGGGATTCAGATCTCTACATAGAAGGCAGCACTAGGGATTCAGGTCTATACATAGAGGGAAGCACTAGGGATTCAGATCTCTACATAGAAGGCAGCACTAGGGATTCAGGTCTATACATAGAGGGAAGCACTAGGGATTCAGATCTCCACATAGATAATAGCCCTGGGGATTCAGATCTCCACATAGATAATAGCCCTGGGGATTCAGGTGTCCACATAGATAATAGCCCTGGGGATTCAGGTGTCCACATAGATAATAGCCCTGGGGATTCAGGTGTCCACATAGATAATAGCCCNAGGGCAGCACCTAGGGATTCAGATCTCCACATAGAGGGCAGCACTAGAGATTCAGATCTCCATATAGAGGGCAGCACTAGGGATTACGATCTCCACATAGAGGGCAGCACCTAGGGATTCAGATCTCCACATAGAGGGCAGCACAAGGGATTCAGGTCTCCACATAGAGGGCAGCACTAGGGATTCAGATCTCTATATATAGAGTAGCATTTGGGATTTGTTTTCATGAAAAAGGCAGCACCAAGGTTTCTCCATAGAGGGCAGCACGGAGAATTTCTGCCATCTTACATCACACAGCATATTATATTGTCATAATAATGGATGGGAAATAAAAGTCCAGTTAGCAATTGGCAAAAACATCTAATGTTGCTGACTGTGATAAAGACAGTTACTGATACTAATACATCTTTAATTCATGGTATAGCTACATCTCATGGCATTATTCATGCATGAATATGCACATGTCAGGTGGCAACAGCTGGTGCAGCGCAGTGCAGCGATACGACGGAGCCAACCTCAACTTATCTCATCAAGCCTCCTTAGCTCAGTAGCTAGAGCACTGGTCTTGTAAACCAGGGGTCATGAGTTCAATCCTCATAGGAGGCTGACGTTAGTCTATTTTATTCCTTCTCTACTGTTTCAGAAACCAAATAATAAGGCTCAGCAGGTATCCTCTATGACACTAACCACGATGATATGGCTTGAATGCTATAAGCTCTCCTACTTTTAGATTAATACCTTGTTTCACCAGGTAACACATTACTTACAATGGACCCTAATTTTTTACTGGTTCAGACAGTAGCACAGAAGATTCATGTCTCATACCAAGGATTGAGGTCGCCATGCAGGGTGAAGCACTACAGATTCAGGTCTCAACATAGAGGGCAGCACCTAAGATTCAGGTCTCTATGTAAGGATTAGCATTACAGATTCAGTTTTTTTTACATAGAGGGAAGATATAAAGCCTCAAGTCTCCATGTAGCCATACACAACAACACTACAGATTAAAGTCTCTACATAGATAATAGCCCTGGAGATTCAGGTGTCCACATAGGGGGCAGCACCTAGAACT